CTCTGCCGGCCCCGCGTGCGTGTGCGTGTGCGCGTGCGCGTGGCTGTGCGAGCCTGTGCGCGTGCGCGTGTATGCGTGAGCCTTTGCATGTATATGTGGGTGCATGAGCCAGTCCGTGTGTGCGCGCGCGCGCGCGTGTGTGTGTGCGCGTGCGCATGCATGAGCCTGTGGGTGGATGTGGCGCACATGACCTTGCGTGCATCGCTGCATCTGTGTGTGGCTGCAGGTACGCACAAGCCTGTTTCTTGGAGTTTGTCCCCTATGCGTGTGTGCGTCTGCACACACCTACATCTGCTTCTGTGTGCCTCGTGCATCTGCAGCATGTGTATGTGCACACCTGTGTCTGCTGTGCATTGCACGTGTGTGCTCTTTAGACACCGTGATCCTGCAAACACATCCATGCCGCACTGTCTGCACACTGGTCACGCAGGAACCCACCAGGCTCCGGCCCTGCCTGGTGAAGCGTGTGCGCAAAGGCTGGTCCTGCGTCTGGGCCTTGTGGTGATGTGTCGCCTTCCCTCAGTGTATGTGGTGTGGTGCCCTACGGCAATACCTCTTGGGCATCTCTGTTGGCAAAGGGGTAGACGAGGGCCCCTCTTCTAGCAAGGGTTTTTCCTGTGTATGTCTGCATGTGCATAATGTGCTTGCGGGGTTTCCTGTCCTGATGCCACCATGGCAGGTGCCAGCTGTGGGCAATGGTGTGTGGGCAGGGGCAGCTCTCTGGTGCTTCATGGTTGCATCTGCTGGGCATAGAGAGCCGTTTTGCAGACTGGAGGAGGGGGGCCTTCCCAGTGAGCCAATCTGTGGGAAAAGATGTGGTGTGGTAGCACTCGTTGCAGCTGGATCCATGTGGGGCCTCCTCTGCCCATGCAGCCTGGCTTTGTTTTCCAGAAGCACCTTGTTTATGAGGGTGACACTTGTGTCATGGAGCTCCCATCTCTCTCTCCCTTTTTTTAAACACACACACTGTTGCTCTCTCCTCCTTTTTATTGTTGAAATTTATTTACAGCAGCTGTAAAGGATCTCGAGGCATCAGAAGAGCCAAGTACATGAGCAGGAGTGAATCCCACAGCATTTCCAGTCTCCTGTGTGAACGGTGTTGTTGAGTCAGATGGCATCCTGTCACCCACTGCCCCCCGTCAGGCTTTGGCAGGCAGCAAGCGTGGGCCGTGTTCCCTGCCTGGGGTGCCCATATTAGTTGAAATGTGCAGGGGTACCCAGTGTCGGGGAGTGTGTTTTTCAGGGATCATCATGGGATGCCTCGGCTCAGAAATCTCTCAGTCTCTCCCCACTTCTGTCTACTGCAGGTGACTGAAAGCAGGCATGGCAGAGCCATGAGCCAGCCCAGAAACTGGACAGTGCACCCTGAGACTGGTCTCACTTGTGCCAAGGTCATGTTCAATCAAATGTGAAAGGTCGTGAGGTCATCCTGAGCTGAGGTCGGGGCTCTGCACGAGGGCAGGGGCAGGCACACGCTTCTGGTGCCATCCTTTGGCTGAGATGTCATCCTGAGCTCTGCTCCGCTGTTGCCAGCGGGTATCTGGGGAGGCCGTCGGGATCCCTGTTGCTTTCACTGAAAGCTTCCAGTCCAAGGCTTGGCAGGCAGCTGGGGGCCCTCTGCTGGGAACAGGCATGAAGTCACATCCATTGTAAACAAAACCCAGGTTGGGGCACTGGGAAATCCAGGCTCCAGGAATGACACTCTGCCTCCCCCAGGGCTCATTCAAGGCAGAGTCACGTCATGGACACAGCGCAGGTTTTCCCATGACCACAGTTCCCCTGGACACAGCCCTGTCATTGCCCACCAGGACAAGACAGGCCCCATCCAAGGGCCACTGTTCCCGGGAAGCAAAACACAAGCTCTTCTCCCGCTTGCTGCCAAACTCATATGACTGCTGCCTTTCCAACAGCCTCAGTGCTTGGGTTGGAGGACATGGAATAGGGTCAGGTGCCAGACAGCTCCACAGGGAGGGGAAAATGGAGAAGGACAAGGCCACTCAGGGGGCCTTGCCAGGTGCAGAAAGGGCTAGCCTGGGGGAGTGATAGCAAGCAAGCCATTGGCCCTGTCATTCTCAACCTCATTAGACCCAATGCAGCCCTTGGAAAACATCACTCCTATCTTGACTACAGAAAAATAATGGAGCAAGTCTTGTTGCAAAGAACTCAGAAAGACCCTAACGGGTCAGAAATGTCCGTGGCACTCTGGATTCCTATTTGAAATCCCTGGGTTTCTCTTGTGAGTCACATGTAGGTGCCGGAAGACTTAACAGGGCAAATATTGTGTAGCATGCTTAAGAGGATCTCACGGCACCTCCATGTGCCGCAGCTCCCTGGTTGAGAATCACTGCACTGGTCCCTAGAAGGCAAAGGAAGCCAGGGGACTGGGCTAGAAACTAGCAACTGCCCTGATCACAGCATACAGGAGCAGGAACATCCCAAGAAACAAGACCATTCTTCAGTCACTTGATATTTCTTCCAAGGCCCCTTTCTCCCATGATCCCTATTCTGGGCCAGCACAGGGCAAAGTGATGAATTGCCTGTTCTCTTCCCCACAGGAATTTTCTCTGCCCCCAGCTCTAATTTACCTGCTTTTCGTATTTGATTTCCAGTGCATGCTCTCGTCTCCCTGATGAGTTGGAGAAGGTGGTTGAAACCGTAGGGCCTGGGGAGGTGGCCGGCGTTGTGCACAAGCCCCCATGGACCCTGTCAAAGAGGCGAGGATCAATGCTTTTGCTTTCACAGTAGTTCACCCTGAAATCTGGGGGTAACCCTGGCCCATCTGTCCTGCTCACAGAGTGCAAAGAACCAGGTAGTGGGAAGCTCCCAGCACAAGGCAGGACCAAACCCTGAGGTTCTGGGGTCACTTCCCCATGCCCTGCACAGCACAACCCTTAACGTGCTCAGCCTCACTGCCCCGGTGGCAGCTTCAGGTCAGCGCTTGCTGCAGGATACAGACGGTTAGGGTGTCTGCGGAGCATCCGCTGGGACAGAGGCGGGCAATTCTTTCAGGCGGTGGGCCGCTTACCGAGTTCTGGCAAGCTGTCAAGGGCTGCATGGGTA